TTGCACAGCGCTGCTTACAGTATTTAACACGTGAATATCGTGAGGTAAAACATATAGTACATTGAATGATTTTTGAAGTTTATGAGTACATGGATGTTGCTGATGTTGGGATGTTTACTATCTCTGTGCAATGTTGCAGCGTGATAACTTATTTGTATATCTTCTTATCTGTTGTCGCTTGGTTTAATTCAGATTACCTTACTACATGAATCAGTTAGTAAATTCATTAAATCATGTATCATGGAATGTAGTAATTCATTAAATCATGTATCATGGAATGAAAGATGGCAACGGTTTATTTTGCAGTTTCTTTTCGTAGCTGCAACTACTAACTGTGTAGAGCTTGCAACTGACCGCCATGGTTGTTGTGTGCTACAAAAATGCCTTAGCCATTCGGATGCTGAACAAAGAAACCGATTAATCTGCAAGATTACTTCAAATGCACTAATCCTTTCTCAAGATCCATTTGGGTACTCTATTTTCACCCCCTTCTTTACAACGTCCTTGATTTAATACATTAATAGCATGGCATGATATTTGCGTCATTTTTTGTTTGCAGGAACTATGTTGTACAATTTGTCTTTGAACTTCAGCTTCCGTGGGCAACTTTAGATATTCTTGACCAGTTGGAGGGTAATTATGGGGATTTGTCTGTGCAGAAGTATAGCAGTAATGTGGTTGAGAAAAGCCTGAAATATGCATGTGAAGAGCGGCGCATACGCATTATCCAGGAGCTGATAGAAAATCCGCGCTTGGATCAAGTCATGCAAGACCCTTATGGAAATTATGTTGTCCAAGCAGCGCTTAGTCAGTCAAAAGTAAGTATTATAGTCCATCTTACATTCTATCTTGTGGTTTAAATGAAATTCGTGTTCCTTTACGAAAGAGATTTGCATTTAACAACAAAATATATGAAGTGAAGTGATCGAATTAATTTTCTAAGTTATTTTTCATCGGGGCAACGATGAGGTTTTTCTATGCTTGTCCTTCTGAAATTCTCTTTGCTGTTTGAGCAGGGAATCCTTCATTCTAAGTTGGTGGATGCAATAAAACCTCACATGCCTGTTCTTCGAACCAGTCCTTATGGGAAGAAAATCCTCTCTAGCAACATTTTGAAGAAATAAACTATTGGTAAATTGCTGCAATATCTTCTTCTTTGACATAGCATTCAAGCTTAACCCATTTTCACTCCTTTGACACGGCATTCGAGCTCATACGATTTTCTTTCTTCCACGTTGTAGGTTTTAATTCGTTCAGAGAGTTCCTGTAAATCTGTAATAAGCAGGTGAAGAAAAGCTTTATATAGTGCTTAATGGTTTTCGTTTTGAACAGATGTAGATGGAAATTGAGTCTTAATCTTTGTGTTTTCTCCCTCAACAGGTTTTGACAATGTCAGAGCAAATCTCGCAGCATCACACCAGATCGATATGCTTGTAGATTAGCAGATTCGTTTTTGTCCCGTTTGTTTTTGCGTAGGAATAAAAAGGAATATGTGAAGATGAAGATGTAGAGCTGTTTGAGCTATGGGGAAACTGTACCATGGTTGGAAGTGGAAGATGGAGCAATGTGTATCTTACACCTATAGATTATTACTGCCAACGTGCTTCATCTGTGTTTTTGTTGTCTATTAGTATTCGTTCAGAAACATCTTGTTACTGTTTAGTATTTAATAAGAAAATTGTTAATGGCACTATAAAAGTTTTATTTTGCACTTCTTATAAATGTATTCTTTTTCTAAATATAGAAAATTTGGAGTGTAAAATAAGAATTTTGGAGTGCATATAATAAATCTCTTTAATAAATCCCATTAATCGATGATTTTTCGTTAATTATAGCTATTCTAATACTAATAAGATGCTGTCTTATGAAATTATAAGACATGTTAATGTTTCATTGGATTCAAAGGTTTGAACCATTTTTTATTAATATGTTTGGAGTTATGTTGTAATATAAACATAATCTCAACGACACTAAACTGTAATTTACGTAGCGTTTCACAGTTTTATTTTTTTAATTGAAAGTTTGCAATCGATTGTATTCACAATTAAAATTACATGCTACGTAACACAACTACTCTGTTTGTGCAGTAACACTGAAGTCGTACCATTAAATTTCCTTGGCAACCACCCATAAAAGTAACACGTGTCATGAGACCCTTGAACTGAAGACGAGCCTATTAGAGCCACTAGTCATGTACTCGTTGTAATCCAAAACCTTTTTCTTTGAGACCAAACAAATGGAATTTCCATCCCACATCCCTTCAGCAACTCCAACATCTTCATCTTCTTCTCCTTTACTTTAATTTCAGCTTAAACAAAAACAGAAGACAATGTCTTTGGCTTCAACAAGTCACCTGTCTCTCTGTTCTTCACCGCCATTGCCACCAAGAAGTGCTTTGACCAAGCAGCAGAACCACCACCCACTTCTGTTTTCTCCGACCAAGAATTTCTCTGGTCTGAGCACTTCAAGCTGTTTTCTCAACACCCATTTAGTAAGACTGTCTGTTTTCGTCGTAAAAGCATCGGAAACTGAGTCGAAACCAGCAGAGAGTGGAAGTGAAGGAGGAGGAGAGGGAAAAGGAAAACCAGAAGCATATGAAGAGTATGAGGTGGAAGTGGTGCAGCCTTACGGGCTGAAATTCTCCAAGGGCCGAGACGGCGGAAACTTACATTGATGCCATTGCGCCCGGTGGATCTGCTGACAAAACTGGCAAGTTCACCGTTGGCGATAAAGTTGTTGCCACAAGGTTGTTATCTAATCCTTTCTTCCCCTTCTAATTTCGGTGGCTTTATTTGTATGATTGTTGAACAGCATGTCTCTTACTTTGCATATTTCTGAAAGTTTATCCGGCAATATATATGCTCAAATGAAATTGGTTACAAGCTTTTAATTGAAATGGAATCCGAGGGACAATAATATATCAATAGAGGGACACTAAACTGTGGTTTTTATACGATATCAATTGTCGATTTAGTGTCATTCCAGTTCTATTTGTGACTAAACTCGTATAATACGTTCTAGTTAGTGTCCCTTCTAATTGTTTGTAGCATTGTATTTATGATTTTTAAGGTTAAGGAATATCATGGCTTTTACATATTGTTCTTAAACCAATCGTAGTTTGGCACATGCATAAATTTTTCTTTTTGCGCTTTTGATGAGTTATTTATGGATATGCGAAAAAAGGCCGATGAGTGTCTGTGTTGGCAATGTGATCAAAGAGTTCTATCCATGCAGTGCAGTTTTTGGGGATGAAATATGGCCTGCTGCCGAGTATGGGAGGACAATGTACACCATTCGCCAGAGGATCGGTCCACTTCTCATGCGAATGCAGAAGAGATACGGTTAGCTCATTCTATCTGCCTTGTTTGTACTTGTTATCGTGACTAAAATACTCATAATTCATTCAAGTCCAAAGCTCCTACCTCTTAAATCAATCTTTTGTAACATTGTCTGAGGTTTTCGGAAATTTTGTTTCTTTCCAGGCAATTTAGATACTTCAGGTGAATTAACAGAAAAGGAGATTATCAGAGCTGAGAGGAATTCTGGTGTAATTAGCGGAAAATTGAGGGATATCCAAGTAAGTGAATCATTGTTCCAGTTGCGAACACAAATAATGCTGAATTGTTTCTTTTTGTTTCAGAAGATATTTCTAGAAATGGCCTCCAATGTAGTCTCTATATGTTTGTACGTAAAATGACTTCAGATGCAAAACTACCTGAGGAAAAAGGAACAAAAGGCGCAGAGAGAAAGTGAACTTCGACAAGGCCTCCAGCTTTATAAGTATGCAGCTTGATCTTATATTTATTCATGTTCTCTCCTTCTTCATCTTTCTTTTATAAGGATAGTTAAAAGGTTCAGTTTGCTTCCATTTAGCCAAGTTTTTTCTTCATTATGACCTCGGATGAAGTCCAAACTTCAGGTAACCGGAGATTGATCTCACTTACAACATTCTTTTCCGTTGTCCTTTTATTGGTTGAAAAAGGGGCGGGAAATATGAGGAAGCATTGGAGAAATTTGAATCTGTGCTAGGATCAAAACCTGAGTTAGATGAAGCTTCAGTGGCAAGTTACAATGTTGCTTGTTGTTATTCTAAGCTTAATCAGGTATTTCCAATAAGAATACTGTCATTACGATTAATTTGTGCTTCGGTTTCAACATTTCCCTTGGTTTTGGCGTTCAAAGGTTTGGCCATTTTACCTAGATTTTGATTTATCCTTCTACAGCTGACGTTGTTGTCGGGTTAAATAAATTGTGAAGGATTCTCTCTTTTGTAATCAATGTTGTGATCAACTAACTGATTTGTTTATATTGTAATTCTTTATATAGATACAAGCTGGGATCTCTGCACTTGAGGATGCCCTGAAAGCTGGATTTGAAGACTTCAAGGTAACGTACCTATTTTTGAGAATACCATGGTTTATTTCCTAGAGCTTCTCATGGAATTTATTACTTTTACTGTCAACAGAGAATTCGGACTGATCCTGACCTAGAGAATTTAAGAAAATCTGATGCTTTTGATCCTCTATTGAAAAGATTTGACGAATCATTCATCAACGAAAATGCCATCAACGCCATAAAATCTATATTTGGCATTTTCGACAAGAAATAGAGCAATGAGCTACTTCAAAAGCTAAAAGGACTTGAGCTGGTCTGCATTTGAGCTTAACGGCAAGTCAACGAAGGGATTGATTGAGCCATCAGCCATCTCGTGCTTCAGACAGATCAGTTTCGCTAGTATCAATTCGTTCATGGCATTAGTTTTGGATGAGTTTGGAAGATATTTTTTCTCTATTCTTGCTTACTTCAATCTTTTTCTCTGATGAGAATCTTCTGTTTGTAATTTGCAAGAATTGAAGATAGAAAGAAACTTAAGAGGGTAACAAAAAGTTTCGTATACATAAATTTCATCTAATGACAGGAGTGTCAATTGCTTTTGTGTTTGCAAATGTTATTGCATCTTGATCATTTTTTTGGGCACCTCCGCCGAAGAATTAAGCATCTAAATGAAAAAACAACTTTATCAAATATAAATATGGTGTTTCTGGCCCCTGGATCTATGTTGCCCCGGAGATTACAAAGTAAAGGCTGCGCATGAATGGATGATTGGTCCGTCGCCGATCCTGTGTCTGAACTTGTGAGAAGTTTCATAATCAAAAGAATGCAATGTTGATAAAATTCTCATAAACGGAAAGTGACTATCTTGAGTGCATAAAACAGTCCTGTGAGAGCTGCAGCTCCGTTGTAATTTTGGTAACGTGAAATGGACTAAAACTGAATTTCAAACACCTGAGTGCCGTTCAATTTTAGACCCATCCCATGAACATGAATTTTCCTTTCTTTCTCTCCTGGAATTGCTGTGATTTCCTTAGGAATTTGCAGAGCGGACGCTGATCGAGAAGTTTCATAAAATAACGCAAACACAGCGTCTTCTGTTCTCGTTTTCATTGTCTGTATCTTCTAGTTCACTATTGAAGAAACACAAATCACGCAGTGATTAGGTGAGAAACCAAAACCAAATTTGAAAGACATTAGTAAGCATAATAAGATGAAAAACAGAAAAGAATCGGTATTTCAAGGGGATGTAAAAACTGAGGCATGTAAACTTGCGCATTGCATATTGAGCGTGGTAATCCATACTGTGTTGTATTATAGATAAAATACATTACTGAATGCACATGTTTGGTTTCAACTTTCACATGAATGCTACACTTGGACCAAAAAGGAGAAACGATCCAAATTATCCAACCAGAATTCGTAGAAATTTGTCTCTTTTCAGATACAGTAGTTTATGATGTTATCTGACCTGCTTAACATTCACAAGGAAAATCAAGATCAAGCATCATGTGTGAATTCTGATGTAGGATTTTCTAAATATTTTCAGAAATTGGAAGCTATCAATCTTGGACGGTTAATCAAAGAATTCCACCCAAGGAAAAACTAAACGCAGCATAATTTGAGTACAATAATGAAGTAGCATGGTAGAGAGAGAGAGAGAGAGAGAGAGTAAAGACCACGTACCTGCACTGAAATTCCCTGATGTCAACAAGCTGCTTCCCTAAAATGTCTGTCCACTGCACTGTCTTCTTTAGCTCCTCCTGTTTTGGAGCACTGGAGTCCGAATTGGGTTTTCGGAGACTACTTTTGAGACAAGGCTGAGCAGTAGATGGTTGTGGATTCGCATTACCTAATAACTTTTCCTCCTTGATGATTTCTTCATCAACCAAGTGATCAGATGTCTCAGGAACTGATGCAAGTTTTGAATTAGGCAAAGGTGGAGGTGGAGGTGGAGTTGGGGCATTCTGTAATTCGAGTGGTCCAGGAGTGTATATGTGAGGGGAATTAGGCTTGCAAAAGCAAATCAAGGGAGGACAATGAATCTTGCAAAACACAAACCTCATCAAATATAAATATATATATATATATATATATATATATATATATATATATATATATAATATTATCTATCTATCTATCTATCTATCTATCTATCTATCTATCTATCTATGTGCCTGCCTGCCTGCGTTCCAAATTATCTCATTTTGCAGTTCCAGTCTCAATTCTCAAACAATGTTACAAATGAAGGCCTGTGAAGTTGGATTCCAACTCCTCCCAGCAGAAGGAGAAGACTCTCAAACAAACCAACCTAAAAAGTAAAGCATAAAAAATGAGGCTTGCTTATTGCCTACTGCCTACTGCCTACTGCCTGCTGCCTATGATTGTCGGAATGGGATTCCCTTTTATAAATTATAAAGTAGAGGGAGGGAACAGAAAGAAAGCAGCAATTATGTCTATGGAGACTGAAATTACGATGATACCCTGATCTTTCAGGGTTCCACTTCCACCTCCTCCGTCTTGTACATGATGAACATCATGGACAATGTTGAGAAGAAGCAGAAAATGTAATGAGAGAGCAAAGTCTACCCGTTTAGAAAGAAAGAAAGAAGGAAAGAACAAATACAAAAAAGAACAAAAACAAAGGAAAGGGAAAGGGAAAGCTTTTAATTAGCTGGAAAGGAAAGCACCCAACAACAACCCTATCTCAAAATCCAAATCCAAATCTAAAAGCTTCTGTTCTTTCCCTTGATTACCAATTACCAAGTAGCAAGTACCAACCATCAGTCAGGCAGGCAAATAGTAGTCTTATATTTTGTATCATTCTCTCTTATAATATATGCTCTCAAGTGGGAATGGCATGCCAAATTGTATTTTATTTTTTTAAATTAGGCAAGCTTATAGTTATGTAGAAAATTAGTGTATTTATTTATGTGTGTTGTTAGGATTCATGCCTGCAATTGTTAATTTTATGAATACAAATAATCAATCACCCGAGTCTCGTAATCTCAAATAAAAGGCTAGGCTAGGATCAATTCTTTATATATAATATCAGGGTTACATAACAAAATGGTATAAGAGAAACAACAAATCCAATATAGATAACTTTAACGAAAAGCACCCGGTACTGTTCATTTTAACGAAAAACCACATTTTTACACTAAAAAGTCAATCTTGGTACTATTCACTTTACCCTTTATTTTGTCCTTATCATTAAAACTCAAAGTTTTCAAGTCATTTTCATTAGTTTTCCTTATAATTATAATATTTGAAAGAATAATCACTAATTATGATATTAGATATAATTGAATTATTTACAATAACAAGGAAAGCTTTATCTCCACTTAACAGATATAATTTTTTTTTCGTTATTAATAAATAAATAAAAGAAGAAAAAGAACAATTGATAGGTTCCGTTCAGATTCGTCAGTCATCGGGCATGCTTAGATATAACTTATACACGTACTTGAATATTGTCTTTAATCCTTCTTTTTTTTTTTTCTGGTGGTTAGATCTTATTGATTAATGAAGGAATATTGGTAACATGCATGCACGTGATTAAATTAATAATTCGTAGATATGGTCCATGCATGCATGCATGCAAACCCATAATATAATATGTGGAATTTAATATTTGGGGACATCAGACCAGCCCAGGATTGAACTTTGAAATTATGCTGTCACATTCTAATCGCCATTATTCGTATTGTGCAGTTGTATTCTCATATCACTGCTCGCTAGTCACTCTTTTTTTTACGAATTTGGCTCTCTTTTCCTCGTAAATAAATTAATAAAGAAAGAAATCTCCGCCCTTTTTTTCTTTTTTTTTTCAAGAGAGAGAGAGAGATGATACCGACGCACCCTCATATGGTCGGATCCGTACATCATATGAACAAAACAAGACCACTTAAAATATATGGAAGATGATTCTTTTCCCTCCAAATCTCTCTCTTTCCCTCATTTTCTATTTGAACGGTTACGGTTTAGACACGTTAACATTTTATATTGATTTTTTTTATAAAGACAAAAAACAATATGTGAGCGGAGGGGAGAAAAGTGGATGAGAATAGGAAGGGAGAGAATCCTACTTCAAAATATATTTCGAAGTTAATAACTACACCTTCGTTATCAGTAATTTTCCAACAAGTAAATCTCCTTCTGCCAAACTCCAGCATCAAATGGCGGAACCACAAGTAACGAACCGACTGATCCGTTGCCCGTTAAACTGGGCATCAGTAGAAATAGATGAATGAAAAATAAAGCCGGTTGCAGTTTGAACTCAATATTATAACTCATCCTATTCCTAGGGCCTCCTGCTGCCTCAGACCTTCTTATTGATGAACTTTAAGAACCGGGAAAGCAATTACATCTCTAATGCTCGCCGAGTTTGTTAAAAGCATGACTAGCCTGTCAATTCCAAGTCCCTGAAAATATATACAACTTCTACCCATTAGTTTTCCTATGTTTTTCTCCCAAATTACAAAGATGCAGAAGGAAGGATAATGACCGTACCATTCCTGAAGCTGGAGGCATCCCGTATTCCAAAGCTGTAAGGAAATCATCATCAACAGTCACCTCATACAAGTCATCATTTTCCTTTCCTTTATCATCTGCACCATCTGTTTCGGAAGTACCTGCTGCTTTCTTCTCATTGTGCTGCCTCACTTGCTCTTCCAACCGTCCTCTCTGCCAAAATTTATCACCAATCATAACTTCTCTATGCTTTGTGATAGAAACTAACATAGGGAACTATACAACAATTGGCAGTGAAAATAGACAATCAGTGGTTCATGATTACCTGATCCATAGGATCAGTTAGTTCAGAGAAAGCATTGGCCAGCTCACGACCACAGATGAAAAGCTCAAATCTCTCAGTCAACCCTGCATTTCTAATTTGGAAGTACTCAGGAGTAAGGTGACATGTAAAAATGTCAAATTGCAAGTAGTATGTAAACCAACATGGTTCGTGTAATACCTTCGGTGTGGCTTGGCCAGAGGAGATATCTCAATAGGATAGTCTAAAACAAATGTGGGTTGCAGAAGCTTTGGTTCTACAGCAAACTCAAAAACCTGGACAATTGAATTATTAGGACCAGAAAAAAAGAGACAACCTAGAACCAAAATATAACAATAATAAATCCACACTTTAAGAGTTTCTGATTTTCATCACTGGAATCTGTTATGTTCATATCAACAGCCTCCCATCAGATGGATAACTCAGCAAACTAATAAGTCTATCCACATATAAAACCAAGATCAAGAATTATGGACTGAAGATTGAGATCAACCTCATTAAGAAGGTGGCCAGTAGATGTGCATGCTTCAATAGAAACTTTGTCTTTGTGATCAAGGTCAACTCTGAGGGTTTTCAAAGTAACTTCTTTAGCCACTTTAAGATCATTGCTCAACTCACCAAAATCAATCCCAGTGGATTCTTTTACAAGATTGTGCATGGTTTCCCTCCTCCAAGGCCGCTCAAGATGTATCTCCGCCCCCTGCATAGAATATGATAACAGTTACAATGCATTAAAAGCAACAATATCATATATTAACTAATAAGCACACGTAATTTTCAACTTGCTTTTCACAGAAATGTGAACTGCAGAGAAATCCCATCACAAGTTGGGTGAAGTTGCATTTACCTGATAATCAACAGTGAGAGTCCCATGAACTGCAAGCGCACATTGTGTAACAATTTCCTCTGCCATGTTCATCATGCTTTCATAGTCTGAATATGCCTCATACATCTAAGATCAGACTAATACCAATAATGATCAGAGCTTCACTTGATAAAACTAAGAAAGTTAAATATATAATAGCCTACACCTAGTCACGCTAATTTGGTAAAGTATATTCAGACGAGTTGAAATAGACAGTAATAATTAATTTACCTCTATTGTGGTAAATTCAGGATTATGACGAGTTGAAATGCCTTCATTCCTGAATATTCGACCAATCTCATACACTTTTTCAAACCCACCAACCTGTCATCCATAGAAAGATCCTTTTCAATATCTAATTCAAGTGTAATATATGGTCTTTTTTTTTTTGGTAAAAAGTGTAATATATGGTCAGAAGTATATAGAAATGAAATATACTGTGATCATTCATTTGCTACTGTATGAAACTTAAACCAAGCTTTTACAGTGTTCCTGTGAACCAGTAATCATTCGCATTCTTAACAAATGCAAAGTCCTCACCAGCATTCTCTTTAAGTGGAGCTCGGTTGCTATTCTCAAATACAGGTCCCTTCCAAGTGAATTATGGTGTGTTACAAATGGCCTAGCTTCCGCTCCACCAGCTGCTCCCTAGTTTATCAAATCAATTAAAAACCACGTTCCAGGTACATGACATTAAAATAAATTCATAAAAATAATCAGAATTATATATTCCAGGAATTAAATAGTATTTCTTTAACTTGTCAAAATCACTCCAGGCAACAATTTCTTGCATAACCATTACCAACTGATATGAATATGTAAACACGTTAATCAGTGACCAATTTGGATTTGCACTATTTATTTATTTCTCTACATGCAGTTGCAATTTCTCTCTTAACTGTACAAATAAGTCAATGACTAAACAGCCAACGGTCAATTGTCATCTAAAAAATACTGTTAAAATATAAAGTTTTATGTTCACATGATGAACTCCACTTCAAGTTGTTCAGTTCCATTTTACAAGGAAAAACTTTCAGCCAGGCTTTTAATTAATACGTGTCTGATATGAGTACCAAATCAAACATCTAAAGCGCCAAACAAATATGAGACTGGGAGAAATTGTAAAACCTGCAGAACTGGAGTTTCAACCTCAATGAAACCAACAGACTCCACTGCCTTCCGTATCTCCGATATAATCTAATCAGTAAGACAAACAAGTAAATTATTTTCAATAATGGAATTATAAATTCTAAAATTATCAAACATGCAAAGGAACATCTAAAAATCTAGTAGGTTTTAATTGTTTTCTGGTAAAGAGAGAAGCAGAACGATTTACCTTTGCTCTTTTCCGGAATACATCAGCTACCTCAGGATTAGCAATCATATCTACATACCTAAATATTAATAGGAAAATAAGACACAACAAACAAAAAGAATTATAAACCTGTAAGTAAACCAAAACTTTCACATCTATTTATCAAATACAGGAGGAAACAAAGACTTTTGTATAATGTCTAGACATATACAAAAACAAAATATCAACTCACCGCTGACGGTAGCGCTTGTCCACATCTGTTAGACCATGATACTTGTCTGGCAGCGGGAGTAGAGATTTTGTAAGAATTGCAAAAGAATTCACATATATCGAAAGCTCCCCTGAGGAATTAACCAAGAATTTTTGTTAGCTTTCTTTGCAGGACCTTGAAGCAAATATAACCTCTTTCTAGACAAGCATGAAACTTATCCATAACTCAGGTATAATATTTGTTCGTTTTATTATGGAAGCCATTTCTCCTATCAGTGAAGCTTAGCAACTACTTATAAACAAGAAACATGAAAGAAGTTACCTTTCTCTGTCCGTTTGATAGATCCACTAGCACCAACTATATCACCAATATCAACAAGTGCTTTTAGCTGATCAAATTGTTCGTCTGCAAGCCGTTCCTTTTCACAATAAAGCTGAAACCAAATGTCCATAACTTCACTCACAGCTTATCGAAGTGCTCGTTTCGTTTCACTTAAACGGTAATTCAAAGTGCGTTTTTTCAAAAGAAACCAGGAATGAGATAGGTAAGTGTTATTGGCACTCCAAAAATCTCATTCTACACTCCTCACAAGTGTATTTTTCTTTCCGTTTGGAGTGTAGAATGAGATTTTTGGAGTGCTAATAACAATTCCTATGAGATATAGCCAATCAATATTTGCAAAAATGTTAAGACATGAATATTATAACAATGCAAGCTTTCCTAACCTGAATTGTGCCGGAATCGTCCCTCAGTGTCAAAAATGCAAGCTTTCCAAACGCTCTGCGAGCCACGATTCTTCCTGCGATGGACACAGCATCCTTCTCGCCTTTTGCCTCTTCACCGTCCGCTAAATCCTTGTATATATCTTGCAGCTGATTAGCAGAGTGAGTCCTTTCCCACCCATAAGCATATGGCTCCAAACCTTTACTCCTCAGTTCTTCTACCTACGAAACCCATATGGAAATTCAAAGCGAGAAGTAAAATGTGAAGCCCAGAATTTGAATTCCTTCATGTCCCGGAATTCTGCCATTAAAGTTTCAGAGTATCACTCAGAGCTTCATTGGATAGAACTTACCTTCTTCAAACGAATGGCTCGAACAGCGTCTTTATCGGAGGTGGAGGAAGATGTCGATGCGCGCCGGTTGCGGCCGCCGGCTCTGGCGGCGTTGGCAGGAGTGGTGGTGGTGGTGGAGGTGGAAGAGCAACAGCGGAGGACAACTCTAGAATACGAAGAAGAATGAGAAAATGGTCGTCTGAGAGTGGTGGTGGTGGTGGTGCAAGCAACGCGGAAGAGGTGCTTCAGTGGCTGCGAGGATAGGCTCCATAGCTTCACCGCATCCATCCCCTTGTTTTTGGTTTCACAGCCGAAGTGTCTACTTCTCACTTCACTTCTTCCATCTTTTTTTTTCTTCTGACTTTTACCATCAACAACTCCAACGGCAAGAGGAGCCACCCTATAGTGGGCTTTGTGGAATGGGCTAAATCTGGCCCATATTTTTGTGATGACCCATTGAAGTTGCGAACCAATTTTGGTGCCCTACCTTGAGTTGTAGTCGAAGCCAATTACATAATGTGATGCGTTTTAATTCTAGGGGTGTGTGATTTTGATTTCTCACATTTCTCTTATTAATATCTTCATTTGATATTATTTAATTCATCGAATTTGATGGTCGAAAATTAATAGGATGTGCGAGAAGTTCTTACTAACAGGGAGATAGTCAAAGATTTATAGAATTTTTAGAAAACAAGTCAGTACACACGTGCCATAATACAAGTGAAAAAGAGTTATTTATAAGTGTCTCTCCAAATCAATGCAACTTAGTTTCTTGTAGATAGGATGGGATACCATGCCATGCCTTTGAATTTTCAAGACAGTTACCCCCAACTCAATTTACTTTTCTTTTATTGGGATTTCAGTATTCTGGCAAATGTTTAAAGACAGCAACAGTTGGTTCCTAAAATAGTAGTTTGGTAAGAAGGATTAGGAAACAGCAGCTCTACATACAACTGTTTAGCAAAATGATTAAATGATTGATGTTATAAACACCAAGGATGCCATCTGCTAATAGATAACGTGTTAATAACAAAATATAACTACAACATAATTCATCTTTTGTTTTGCAGGGATAAAATATAAAATATTAACGTGACTTATTCGTAACCACACAAATAGAAGGGACATCGGAAGTTGGAGCTCAGACAATTGCAGATATAAACTCTTGAGTACAGTAAAAAGTAAGACAGAGCGGTCAAAATTGAGATCCACTCAGCCAAAATCCGTCATTTGCTTTGCAGAGATAAATTTTTGAGTCCCAATTGCCCAACTTTCAACAAAAATAAGACTAACAGAACATAACAGAACAGAACAGAGTCCCGTCACCATACGCAAGCCACAAGTCCACAGAGGAGGCACGAAAATGGTGTTCAACAGCCTGATGGTGGAGTCGGTGGCGCACCTGTCGGCCGAGATGTGGCAGTACTTGGCATGCTTACCGGAGCGCTTGAGCAGCCACCAGCTGTTGGATCTCATCTTCTGCCTCCCTCTGCAGCAGTTGGGTCGCCTGGCTTTCTGCCTCTGGACCTTCCTCTGCGTCCCTCCGCCCGACTCCTACTACTCCTACTCTTACTCCGACTCCGATGACTCATCCTCCACCGTCGATTACGATGACTATTACTACGATCCCCACTCTGATTGATTCCCTTCTGCTTCTTCGATTGTCTTCCCCTTCGCCGGCGCCCCCTGTACAGTAATTTCTGCTATCCTTTTTGCGTTTTCTTTATCTCAATTGCTTTGTTTTCGTTTCTGGAATGTTGGGTTTGTGCCGATTAGCTTGATCATTGACTTTTAATCTTCTTGTAGAATGATGGGTTGACTGCGTGATTTCTTTGCATTAATGAATTGGGTTGTTCAAGATTGCTCTTTTTTCTTCTGATTATTAGAATTTAATGGGTGATCAGCATGAGGCTCGAGAAGCTAGATACATAGTGTGACAAAAGCGCTTCGCTCTTCGAACAAATGTTGAGAATCAAGTGTTCTAAGAGTTGATTGCCATGAAAAAAAAACATTGTTAGTGCATGTGGCATTGACTTGTTATGTATGTATGTATGGCAATGTAAGTCTCGCAAGTTACTCGTTCACTAGTTATACAAGGTTGGAAACTCCTAGGTCTGATATGCAGTCCAGTCTTGGAGGCTATCAAGTGAGTGCACTCAAATTTGTAGGCATGAGGCATTAGGGGTGTCGAGTCTAAAATTTAGATGTATCCAAGATCACTTTAGCAATGCCCTGAATCAGTAGGATGATGCTAATTTGACGGTTGATGTTTAGGTAACATTGTAATGCTTTAAAAGAAAATTTTATTGTTGATACTGATGAATGATGATCATGAAACAGAGTTAGGACGATGGTGTGAAGAATTAGGGAGATGTTATTGGCACTCCTAAAGGTCTTCCTGCCCTCATTATAAAAGTACAAGGAAAAATTTGTATAGAGAGGAGTGCAGCATATAATTTCTAGAGGGCCAATATTAGCTCTCAAAATTTATCGTTAGGAATTATCCAAAAGAAGCTGCACCAGCAGCTCATATTAATCATTGTTTATTCTATTTTGGTTTGGCTGGAATCACAATATTCTTTGTTAGGAAGGTGGATTAACTGATTAAGCATGGAGTAAGAACTAAACATTAAGTCAAACTTGATTGTTTCTCCGAAACACTGATAAAAGATCTGAGATTTCCTACGATTTGGGTTGCACAGATTCATTTGTCAAGTCTGAGGCAGGAGGGATGACGGTATGGTGAGTTTAAGATAATAAACAAATAGTCACATTTAATAAATTTATTGAGCACCTTCAATTTGAGGGAAATAGTTGAAATCCATTGGAAATTTGGCATTATGTGGGGTACAGACCATTGCTGTACTGATCTTCAGCAAGTTAATGCACTTTAGACTTTGAGTAGTCCAAGAAACGCCCGGGAGCAAGTTGGCAAGTTAGCATTAGCAGTAGTCTTTCATACTTTAAATTGGAAATTAGAGGATAGGAACTTGTGTTCACTGAATATCGAGTTATGAGGTATGCTCTTAGGTCGGCACTCATTTGATGGGCTGTAAAGACCTCCCGTAGAGAAAATATCTTGAACATCAAACATGGCCTTTTCTAGAAAATGGCCCCTTCCTCTTGGAGGTTGAAACCTACTAATATTTTAGAGATGATGTTCTGTGCACATTGCCCTATTAAGTCTGTCAAATTGTCAATGTAAGCGACATCAACCCATATTCTTCATGCAGTTTTTTCTACGTAGTCTGTAATTCAATTAAGAAAGCCTTGGTTTTTAATTGAGTGGCCTTGGGAAAAAAAGTATCCCATTTTCATGTTTCTGAGTAACTTTAAATCGAGAACATAGTTTTTAATCACTTTCATTTTTTTTCCTTTTATTTATAAAACAGAATTTCCAAATTTTCATAAACTTGATGGGGTCCATGCAGCCCCTTCAGAGTTGTGTTTTTTTCAAAGAACTGTGTGCTTGTTGGAAGTTAGGAATAATACGCAAATTATTCAGTGTTGGATTTGCTGTTTTGTTGAGCATTTGATGATGCTGCACAGACTGCTTTTGTGAAATGTAACTTTTAAATTCTTCAGATACTGGCTAATGCATTTCAGCACTTATTGTAGGAAGATGCAGGATGGAGGATAGATTCTTGGATAAACTCTTTCGTTGCTATACATTGTAGGTTTGTCTGGGAGGGGACAGGATAACATTGAAGAGCAGGCTTAACTTCGTGTTAGATTGCTGGTCGCTGGTGGATGAAATGGAAAACTACTTTCTGAATACATTTAAGTTGAGATCCCGGTCCTGTGTTTGTTTTCCTTCTTTGTCTGAAAGCTTCAAACAGTCTTATATTCTTTGAGTTGTAGATTTCTTTGGGTCTTATTATACGTGGAAGCATCGCTACTGGATCATATGCTGGTGATATTGTATATACAAATTGTACTTAAATATTGGATGATATAGTTAATAATTAGTAACACTCAACCTCGAACAGAATCTCACTTTCTGCAGTCATGTTCTTGCTTTTGATTTAATTTGTATTTGATTATTTGGATTTAATATGATGTACTCAGGAGGAGCACTAAGTACTAACTAAGCTAATGAGACCCAAAAATGGGTTGCTTCAAGCTCAGAATTATTAGGCAAGTACATCACCATGGCGCCGGTTTTTAGAAATGGAAACTTAAGCATGAAGATTTATTCATAGAAGGGTTACGTCTCTGAGATTGTTGGTGGAATTAAGAGTGACTCAGACAAATGAAATGTTCTCACATGTCTAATGATTTACGATACTAGAGAGACAGGGAATGCTTATTTGCTGGTGTGGGGGTAGCAGATCTATGGGGAAGAGTAAGATATTGGGCAGCCCTTTGGGCTTCAGTTTCAAATGATTTTAAGAATTACCCTCTTTCTCACATACTGTGGGATATGTTAGCAGCGTAAAGTGATTTTGGTTGAGGTTTTGCTACTTGTAATCAAATCCTCTTGAGAGATTTTCTTGTTTTGTTCTTGGTGGATTTCTTATCAACTTCTGTGTAATTCCACTTTTCTTTTTTAATAAAATGTTATAGTTTCTTCTCAAAAAAAAAAAAAAATCGTCTTCCCGTCAAGAATTGAGGACTTCCACGCTGGAATTCTGCACAGGAAAATGTACAAAGACCTGCAACATTAAAGAAAGAGAGTAGTGTGTGATGTCTCGTGTCGTATTTGAGACACTTTCGATATGATGTCTCAATTAGGCAGCTTCTGGTTCAAGGTCGACCGTAAATTAGTTGCTACATGGTCTCTGTTTTGGTAATCTGAAAGTGTAGGGATGGTGGTCGCTGCAGGGAAAGTATTAGTTGCTAAATCCTACATGTGAGTGATTTGAAAGCATTAACTCGGCATGTTAGGTTGAAGATTGGTGATTACTGCCTGATGCGGTTCGGGTTTTCTAATCTTCTGGAATTTTGCAGATACGGGCATAACCAAGTTGGCTAGAATAATGTGCTGGTTCTCTGCACCACTTTGAATTCCACTTCGTGTAGTCAAATATGGCACATGAAATGCATATACAAGTCAAACATGGATATGTTGAAGTTGTATCTAGCTGTTGATTGCAATATGTTTTCCAGTTTCTCCGCAGCATTAGGTAGAGGACGCTGTTCATCTTTTATCACGTGCGATGCGGTGGCGAGAATCCATTCATATTATTCGTTGGGGGATCTGGGTGGATCGCGATGGTTGTAGATTATTACTATTCTTCTAGCAGCAGAGGTAAAAACACAGAGCGAGAAAGTGAAATAAGAGAGAGGTGGTTTAGGTCAAAGAAGAATGCTAACAACGTTGTTATTTGGAAACCTTATTATTTTCATTCTTATTCTGTAATGCTACACGATGATTTAAACCATTTATTTCTAGGTCGTCATCTAAAAATCATCTCTATAAAAACTTAAATGTATCCATAAGTTTTTGCTCATCTAACTATTATTCAATAATTCTCTTAAACATTGAAATTATGACAATATTAGTGTAAACAGTTTTGACGATATTTTGTTTGGTTCTTTTGTTGCAAAGTTGTTGTTTAAAAGGTGACCTAGATAACATATGGTTTCGATCGTTAAGTAACAATGCTTGATCATAAAAAAGAAATGAGAAAATAGAAAGAAAAAAAAGGTTTCAAATATGGGGTGTGCTATCCACACACCCATTTTTACTTCTCACACACCCCTTGTTAATTTATGTCGTTGATCTTCTCCAATTCATCTGATCCGACGGTCGAAAATTAAAAAAGTATGGGAGAAGTAAAAAGAGGTGCGTGGATATCATACCCCTTCAAATATAAAGGTTGCTAGCCCTCTTAGGCTAATTAGCCAAAACAATGTGCTTGGCCCTTTATTATGAAATTTGATCCTTGTTCCATAGATTATAGTAGCTTTACTTTAATACAGACCATATATATTGTCTATAGTAGGGGTGGATGAAAGAGATAAGTCTCACAATTGGCTAATCATAATAATTTGGTTCAAATTTGTGTCTGACAAGAATCGAGCTTACGACTTTTTACTTATAAGTGAAAACCTAGTACTAAGTGGTGTAGATTATAGTAGTTTAGAATGTGAAGTTTTATGGTAAAAGAAATAAAGGAAATTATATAAGTGGCATTGGCATCAGTCACCAATGCCGGTGTATGTTTTCCAATGCATGTGGGGTCTTGACCTTCCATTATTCTTGCTCCCGTCTATTATTAAGGCAGGTTTGGCGCCCATTGTTAGCAATTGCTATATTTTCATAGTACAAAATCATGAATCATGAAGAGGAAAAAGGAAAGGAAAAGCCAGGCCTTAGGTTACTCCAATCATCCAATGGCTTATGAGAGTTATGGCCCACTCTCCCAATCTCAAGAGACTTATCAAATTATGCATGTATATATACGTACATATATATACACCTTCTTTTTCTTTGTTACACATTTGAGTATTTGACTAGTGAGTGCTGAACTGATGGACCCGTGAATTCTGAATTGATGGCCTTTCTATTTCTCCTCCCAACTTTCCAACTTTTCCAGTTGTTGTGGATTTTCAGATATTTTGCTGGCTTGAAATAATGGCCGTCTTGTTTAGTTTATACTTTCTGATTAATTCTTCTCAACTCTATAATTCTCTTTTGTTTTGAATGGATTAGAATTAATGGCCTTTTCTTAATTTAAAATGAAGAAGGAGACATTCATCCATGTTTTGGGAAGGAATCGGATTAAACAAAAAATTAAAATTATTTTGCATTTGAAGTTGGAACAATTGTTTTCTTTTAGTAGTCTATAAATAATTGCAAAACTTTAAATTGAATTAATACATCAGAAAGAATATATGAAGTTACCAAAGGATCGATGAACAACTCAAGTTTTTTTTATTCTTTTTCTTTTTCTCATCACTTGGTGGTTTGCTCATCACAATCAATAAGCATCATCATATACATATGTGTGTGTGTCGGAGCATGCTGGTTTGAAGACAAATCTTCCAAAAGGATTTTGTATTCCGTCGGAGCAAATTAAGAATCCTTCACATTCTCCTCTCCTAGTTTCACAATTTAACTTACTTCTTGCATCATTGCATGTTCAAATGCTGCATTCATATGGCATCAACAATTAAAAATCCTTGAGGTTTCAATCAAGGGCCACTCGAATTCAATATCAGATGTATTTTTCATATCATTACTAGTTAAACTATGCTCTTATTAATAAAAATAAAATAAAGAATTTCGACCAACTCGCATACAAGGACAAACCATGTCCATGGTTCACATGTTCATGGACCTTTGTGTCCCATCCAGTCCCACATTATTTGCC